TAAGGCTTTATAAACCCTTCCCACACTCTTGCTATGTTCTGAACCCTTAAATGTAATTTTAACATGTATATATGTTTTGTACAGTACTGCAAAATTTTACTCACCAGCTCTGCAGACCAGCAGTTCTGTTCTGGTCAGTCGGGCTTGGTTCCAGTTCTGCAGACCTACCCTGCAGCATGAAGCCCACCGTCCCGTCCAGGTTCATGTGTGCGTGCATAATTGAGCTTCAGGAAGCTTAAGGATTATTTTTGACTTTCCTGACAGTTCTGTATGCTTAATTGCGTAGATTTGCGTTGCAAAACTTTCGCTCCATTTCGACAGAAAGCAGCGGCTGGAAGCACTGTTGGCTTCTGGGTAGTATAGTTCTTTTTTACTGGCTTTACAGTGTAGGCCTATTGAAAGAAAACTACAAAATGGTGGCACCTGTCTGAAGTATTTTTTTCATTAACTTTGTCTCATACCGTCCCAATCGCAAGTAATATTATTCATTCATTCAACCTTTATTTATACAGGTTAATCCCATTGAGCCTCAGGGACTCATTTACAAGAGAGACCTGTTTATTTTATTTTTTAAGTTAAAGTTTTTTTTTTTTATTAAAGTTGACAATTGTTGAAAAACCGTGAAGTAGTGAGAGACTACTGTACCCGGAGAAAACTCACACATGCATGCGGAGAACATGCAAATTTCATACAGAGCGGCCCAAGGCTGGAAACAACCCTGTGACATTCTTGCTGTGAGGTGACTACTCCAGCCACTGCTCTGCTGTTTCCTATCCAAAGACTGTATAAATTGCAAATCCTGTGTCCTTGCCTTCTCTGTTTGTTGGAAATTGAAGCTAGATGGACCTGGTTTATGGAAGCTGCCATGTGGTATTATTGGGGGGGGGGGGGGGTTTGTGCACTATGGATATTCGGCTTTAAGTCCCACCCACTTCCCTTCACACAATCATAGCATTGCAGGAGCTTTCTTTTAAGGATTAAAAAAAGTAATGACGGCTCAATATGTTAAAACTTAAAACATGTATTGGATCCAGTTGACAGAAAAGGTTTGTCTTGTTCCAGCTTCAACTTCTTTGTTCTGGTCAGAGATCTAGATATATACGGTATATGGTCAAAAATAATAAATTAAAAAACATTGATTGGTTGAGCAAGTACAACAGTTTTCCAGCTCCTGCACCATTAAAACTAGATTAGCATTCATCCATCCATTCTCTTCCGCGTATCCGGGGTCAGGTTGCGGGGGTAGCAGCCTAAGTAGGGAGGCCCAGACTTCCCTCTCCTCAGCCACTTGGTCCAGCTCCTCCGGGGGAATCCCAAGGCGTTCCCAGACCATCCGAGAAACATAGTCCCTCCAGCGTGTCCTGGGTCTTCCTCTGGGTCTCCTCCCAGTGGGATGTGCCCGGAACACATCACCAGGGAGACGTCCAGGAGGCATCCTAACAAGATGCCCGAGCCACTTCAACTGGCTCCTCTCGATGTGGAGAAGCAGCGGCTCTACTCTGAGTCCCTCCTGATAACTGAACTTCTCACCCTATCTCTAAGGGAGAGCCCAGACACCCTGCGGAGAAAACTCATTTCGGCCGCCTGTATCCGTGATCTCGTTCTTTTGGTCACAACTCAAAAGCTCATGACCATAGATGCAAGTAGGAACGTAGATCGACCGGTAAATTGAGAGCTTTACCTTTTGACTCAGTCTCTTCACCACGACAGACCTGTACAGCGCCCGCTTCACTGCCGATGCTGCACCTATCCGCATATTGATCTCACGCTCCATTTTTCCCTCATTCGTGAACAAGACCCCAAGATTCTTAAACTCCTCCACTTGGGGCAGGGCCTCCTCCCCGACCCGGATAGGGCACTCTACCCTTTTCTGGCTCGAGACCATGGTCTCGGATTTGAAGGAACTGATCCTCATCCTGGCTGCATCACACTCTGCTGCAAACAGCTCCAGCGAAAGCTGTAGATCACGACTTGATGAAGCCAATAGGACCACATCATCTGCAAAAAACAGAGAAGCGATCCTAAGGCCACCAAAACAGATCCCCTCAACACCTTGGCTATGCCTAGAAATTCTGTCCATAAAAGTTATGAACAGAATCAGTGACAAAGGGCAACATTGGCGGAGTCCAACTCTCACTGGGAACTAGCCCGACTTACTGCCGGCAATGTGGACCAAGCTCTGACACCGGTCATATAGGGACCTAACAGCCCATATCAAAGGGCCTGGTGCCCCATATTCCGTGAGTACCCCCCACAGGGCTCCCCAAGGGATGCGGTCGAACGCCTTCTCCAAGTCCACAAAGCACATGTAGACTGGTTGGGCAAACTCCCACGCACCTTCCAGGACCCTGCTGAAGGTATAGAGCTGATTCAATGTTCCACAACTAGGACGAAAACCACACCGCTCCTCCTGAATCCGAGGTTCGACTATCTGACGGACCCTCCTCTCGCGGAACATGGCCCACTCGGACTTGATGTCCCCCGCCTCCCCCGGAACATGTTCTAAGCTCTCCCGGAGGTGGGAGTTAAAGCTCCGTTTCATGGCAGACTCTGCCAGATGTTCCCAGCAGACCCTCACAATACGTTTGGGTCTGCCAGGTCTGACCGGCATCCTCCCCCACCATCGGAGCCAACTCACCACCAGATCAGTGGACAGCTCCGCCCCTCTCTTCACTTGAGTGTCCAAGACATGCGGCCGCAGATCAGATGAGACGACAACAAAGTTGATCATTGAACTGTGGCCTAGGGTGTCCTGGTGCCAAGAGCACATATGGACACCCTTATGCTTGAACATGGTGTTCGTTATAGACGATCCATGATGAGCAGAGAAGTCCAATAACAGAACACCACTTGGGTTCAGATCAGGGGGGCCATTCCTCCCAACCACACCCCTCCAGGTCTCACTGTCATTGCCCACGTGAGCGTTGAAGTCCCCCAGTAGAACAAGGGAGTTCCCAGGAGGCACACTCTCCAATACCCCCTCCAAGGACTACAAAAAGGGTGGATAATCTGAGCTGCTATTTGGCGCATAAGCACAAACAACAGTCAGAACCCATCCCCCCACACGTAGGCGGAGGGAGGCCACCCTCTCGTTCACTGGGGTGAACCCCAACGTACAGGCACAAAGATGGGGGACAACAAGTATGCCCACTCCTGCTTGGCGCCTCTCACCAGGGGCAACTCCAGAGTTGAAGAATGTCCAACCCCTCTCAAGTAAACTGGTTCCAGAGCCAGAGCCATGCGTCGAGGTGAGTCTGACTATTTCTAGCCGGAACCTCTCAACTTCACACACCAGCTCAGGCTCCTTCCCCACCAGAGAGGTGACATTCCACATCCCAATAGCCAGCTTCTGTAGCCGAGGATCAGACCACCAGGGTCCCTGCCCTCGGCCACCACCCTTCCCACATTGCACCCGGCCCCTTTGGCCCCTCCCACAGGTGTTGAGCCCATGGGAAGTACATTAGCATTGCTAAAGTAAAAGCTACTTGCCTGTCCAGTGTCTGCCATAAGGTACTGTCCTTTGATTGTGTGCAGCACAATGTAGTAGTTTTTTTTTTAAACTGAACTCTTCAAGTGTTGCCTAAAAAACAGACCTCACATTTTAAATACAAATGTAAACAAAGAGCACTACAAACAAATTAATTATACAGGCTTCTGAACTTTAGTTTAAACATCATCAGTATGTTTCTCACACTGCTAAATTATTTCTATTAATAGTGACCAATACAGTTATTGTGTGTTCAGTTGTTAGTTTCAGTCCTTGTGCTGTTATTGTCTTCTTGTACTTTGTAGAGTGTTTTTAGAGTTTTCTTGCTTGCTGTAGAAGATATTGTGTTTTGCTGGAGGTCTGTCCTCTTATAGTCAAACAAGATTTTTCTGTTTTCAGGCACTTGAGTGTCACCAGAGGCTAACGTGCTGCTCTCACTGTTGACTTGTTGTGCGTTGGGGAACTTAAACACACAAAATGATAATGATGATGTTTTTATGCTTTGTGTTTTATTTAACAGTGTTGTATAATGCCACATGGAAAATAACTTTTTCAAAAGAGAATCTACTAACCTGAATCTGTGGGTCTTTGAGATTATTTAGCAGTGTGTATGTGTTCTTTATCTTTCTGCTTTTTTAACCACTTATTTGTGTTTTACTGTGCTTTTATCAGGGAAGACTTTCTTGCGAGCACCCCAGATGAACATCAACATCGCCACCTGGGGCCGGCTGGTGAGAAGAGCCATACCTACAGTCAGCTCCAACTCTTTCAGTCCTCAGGCACCTGAGATGGGTCAAAGCAGCCTGCCTGGTTCACCCACACCCAGCAGGTGATCAAACACACATACGGGAGACATTATATGAAGTCATCTAGATGTGAAAGTAGTAAATAAAAATTATAAGCTGCTGCTGAGTTCTGCTTTCTTTTATTCTCACGTCTTTGTCCAAACATAGTGACCCGCTGGTGACTAAGCTGGACTTTGACAAAGAGCCTACACCAGAACCTAAACATTACCCTCCACCTGATGATGTTCGAGAAGCGCCTGCACAGCATAAGATGGCCAACAAAGATGAAGTTCAGGTATTATAGTGTTACAGAAATGACAAGTTAAAAAAAAACTCCACTGAATTGATGCATCATCAGATGGGTCTTGTTCTAAAAACAACTACAGACCAGTTTCTCACTTAATATTAATTAGATTAATTAAACTTGTGGATATTAAAGGGAAAATGTGGTTATTTTGAAGTGAGATACTGTTAAAGGTTATGAACATTGTCTTACATCTAGATAGCTTTTTGCATGTCCTCAGTTTGAAAAAGATTTAATTTAAGTCTAACAGGACTGATAAGCTCTTATAAGCTAATGGCTACCAGTCTCAATCCAGAGGGAGGCGCCAAAGATGCATCCTAACCAGATGCCCAAACAGACCACTTCAGTGGCCTCCTTTCAGAGTGAAGGAGCAGCCGCTCCACTAGGTGCTCCACTCAGATGACAGAGCTCCTTGCCTTATCTCTAAGGCTGAACCGCACTCTGGAAACCAGGGAAATCCTGGAAAATGACTTTACGTTTTACAGACAAGGAAAACTCAGGAAATGTGAACACTAATCTGCTGATTGAAGGATGATCTCTGAGATTTTGACATGTACATGTATTCATGTTTGTATTCTACTATCATTAAGTCCATATTTTGCTTCTACCGTGTACATATTACATGTATCATTACTGACTGGCTATGGTGGCTTTTAAGTATCTGATGTTATACAGTATACTTAAATATTAGGAATGATTGCTGTATGCACGTATCGTAGACTACAGTAATACTTACTGTCACCTCTGAATGTGACTGCCCACCACCAAAGACCAAGTTCTGAGTGTTTCGAGTGACTGAAAAATCTCCTCAGGGTTTACTCGGGGAAATATCAGGGAATTTTGTTTTTATAAAATGCTGAGAACCCTGAAAGAAAGCTCATTTCAGCAGCTTACTCAGGCGTCTGCTCAGTGGAGCAGGTCGAACAACTACTCCCCCATTTTCTAAAGTGGGGGTTACAATTTTGCTCTCTGGTACTTTGACTTGAAAGCATTATAACTCAAAGCAGTGTTGTAGTGTTTACCGATTCCAAGTTTACTTTCTTAGTTACAAACTATAAAAATTATATTTAAAACACTCTGCTTCACTCTGCTTTGAACTGGTTCAGAACACCAGTAGCTGTTAGCTCACTAGTCTTCATGCTCTGCTGTGGAGATTAAAAAAAAAAAACTACAGTAAATCGAGTCAGTTATTTACAGCTATTACTGTGCTGTTTTGTTTTCTGGCTATGAATCAGACAGACTAGTTTAAGAACCTTTGAATCATATCCACAAGTTTTTAAAAAGTGTTGAACTTGATCCCTTTATTCTGATTTTATTGACGTCAACACGGAGCTTATTATAGATCATTTTTGAGGGGGTTAACAAAAGTTTAGGCTAAAATTGGACATAATGTATGACCTAAAAGTAAATGTTTTGTAAATGTCTACATTTTATTTGTTCTGTAAAATACTCAAATACTCGTTTGAAAACCTCGACTTCACCAAAGTTCATGCTCAATAATCCAAGTGTTGGGTCAGGTCTGTCAGGTCACCTCGACTTGTTTTGTTTTTAGTATTTGAAACGATACAGGTATTCATGTCCGCAGGTGGACATTGTTGTAAATCCAGAGCCACGCAGCACATTTAGTTTGTCTTCAGGTTGTGGCTGCAGTGGAAAAGCTGTGAATGCACCAGAGACATTCAGCTCGGTCTGTTTTGCACCCAGTCATTTGTGATGTGGCTTTGTTTGTATCTGTATCTGGGTTAATATTTAAATAAATCGTAGAATTTCACCCCAGTCTGTTTGAAAGAAAGAGAGGGGGAGGCTGGCTTTTGAAGAAATACAATGCTCCTGGGTACAAAAATTACCCCAGGCTGCAGTGGAAGTGCTACAGCTTACTGCTAATGCCACTTTTTGCACCTGCAAATAACTACAGAAGAGAGACCGAAGCTGTTTTAGGTCTGATCAGACCCGCTGTTAGTTCATCAGTCCTGTCAGGATTCTCCACATTAAGTCTGTTTTAACAGGAAGCAATATATTAGTTTACTATATTTTTCACACACAACCCATTCCAAAATGACTCCCCAAACTGTTAACTTTTTTAAATCATTTTGTTTTCTGTTTTTCTCTCTGCAGGATGCCCTCAGTGCGTACGACTTCCTGAAGAGGAACAGCACGGTCATGGAGCCGGACATGGACGGGCTGCTGGAGCGGGACTTTCACTATCCAGACCCAGAGCTCACCTCCATCCTGAAAGATACAGAGATAAGGTCAGACAGCCATGTGCTCATTGTGTTTCTGGCTTTTAAAGTTTGTGAGATAGTTTACTTAAATGTGCAAGATGAATAAAATAATTGCTCCTGTTTTTAGGAGACTCTTGACATTAACACTGTGCTGGTGAGCTGCCACCTTTGTTCCCGTTTATTTTCTCCCCTCTGTTGATTCTCCAGCTGTGACATGCAGATGTAAGCACTGCCCCCTGGCTTTAGTTTGTCTGCATTGGATTGACCTGCGCTCTCCGTCTCTTTCCAGGGAAGAAGAGCAGTTCCACTTCAGTCTCCAAGACTTCAGATGTGTGGCTGTTCTTGGACGAGGTCACTTTGGAAAGGTACTGTTGGGTTACTTGTCTTTTATAGGCTTTCAGGGTAAATAACTAAAAAGCATAAATGTTTTAACCTCCTGATGATCTCATAGATGTGACCGCTGTTAACTGTATTTTAGGTTGTGGGTCAACACGTTCATTAATCATCGTCTGTACCCATTACAGGTGCTGTTATCAGAATATAAAACCACAGGGGAGATGTTCGCCATCAAAGCTTTGAAGAAAGGAGATATAGTGGCTCGAGATGAGGTTGACAGGTGTGTATTTACAGCTCTGCTCAGACTGATCGGTCTCGCAACTCCAGACAGACTGCAGCTTGAAATATAAATATAAACGAAAGGCTATCTTTTACATTACCATCTGCAAGCAGGACTGCCATAATTTCTGGTTTAAAGAGTGCACCTGAATATAAGCTGCGCACACTAAATTAAAAACAAAAAAAACGTGTACACGTATAAGCCACGCCTGTGTGTAAGGCGCGGGTGTCCATGTGAGATATTTACACAGAAAGATGTCACACAGAAAGATTTTTTAAAAGATTTTAATTAAATATGTACCAGTAACATACACAAATATGCACAGTGTTTTCTGAACAATGTTTTTAACACGGCTGGTTTAAAAAAAAAAACCAGTAGCTTACCAGGAAGTCATTGATGGCTATCTTCAAGTTGTCCTCCTGCTCAGCGGAGCAGCAAGTGCTCTGTGAGCATGTGAGACTCACACGCTCTGCGCATGCAGGGGAATCCCCCCTCCCATGTCATTGGGTCGACTGTGACCTGTTCGGTAATTTCGGTGGTCAGATTTTTTTTTTTACCTTTTTATTTATACAGGTAGTCTCATTGAGTCACAAGGACCCACCCCCAAGAGAGAGATGTATTGTATGTGAGGGTGTGACGAAGCTAAATGCTTTTGGTGGCAGGAAGCTCATTACCCTGTCCAACAACAACAACAAAAATCCATAAATTAGCCGCAGCATTGTATAATCCAGAGGTGGGCAATGTTTTTTTTCCCAAAGGGCCACATCAAAATGTTTAAAACAATCAAAGGGCCCCATAGAGAATTGGAAAATACACTTTCTTTATGACAGATAATCTAGAAGACCTTTTTCAGGCTTTTTCTTATTGTAGCAAAGTTAGCATGCTTTATAAAACATGTCTTCACAATATCCTTTAGAAATATAATACATATTCTGTAAACTGGCTCTTGTGACAATATATTACATGAGCTTAACATGTTATACATGTTAGCAGGAATATGCAAAACAAACTTATATTTTTGTGGTTCCAAGTCTTTAAACTTCAGTGTAGTTCTGGAAAAACAACAAAAATGTTTTTTTTTTTTTTAAGTTTTGCATTAAGATGTTTAAATGTTCTTAAGTCTCATTGATAAATTGCTGTTTTTTTTGTTTTTTTTATCAATCTTTATTTTAAAAGTTTTTTGTGTTTTTTTTTATTAAACTAATGATACTGGGGGAATGATGGAGATTGTAAATGGGCCACTTTTGGCCCTCAGGCCTCAAGATGCCCACATCTGGTATAATCCATTGGGTTCAAAGCCTGTGAAAAAAGTAGCAGCTTATAGACCAGAAATTACAGTATTTGCTCCTTTATGTTCTCACTGTGAGCAGTTTACAGACTGACCACTAAGATCTGTGAGCCTGTTTACACATGACGACAACCTCAAACCTCAGTGACCTCATCTCATGTGGACAAATGGCTGCCTTCCAACTGGATGATCAGGGATTTGATCCACAGCCTCTGCAACATGCTGAAGTGTCCTTAGTCAAGACACGGTCACCCCCATCCCCACTGCTCCTGATATGCCAATTTAGAGCACTTTGAGCGGGGTGGAAGTGCTCTATGTAGGGTCTAAATTATAATAAAAAGGTGTGTGCAGTGTTTCTCCCAGAAAACTTGCCATGGCGGGGTGCTCACTTCATCTGATTTTTGTCGATGGGGGGAGGGGGGTGCTTAGACAGAGACGCGCATCTGAGCTGTGGCGCTGTTTGTGCTGACAGTGTTATTCGATTGTGGGGGGGGGGTAGCATGAGGGAAGAGGTTACCTTTAACTTTTTAGCTAGCGCACCTGTATTGCGAGCCGCTAGCTTAGTGTTACGTCTGTACCTACAGGTGGGCGGGGTACGTGTGATTCGGTAGATTGGGCGCTCGGTTCTGTTGGCGGGGTGGGGCGCCCTGCTTGTATAATGGTAGGGGAAACACTGGCACTGTGGGTGTGTGTCAGAGAGAGGAACACATTAAAAGACTTTGCAGAACCAGGGAATGTTGAAAAGAAGCAAAGCCCGAATGCTGATGTTTTGCCCTTGTTTTTGTGAGTTTCATTAATTATTAAACTGATTTTTTTTTTTTTGCATCTCCATCTGATTATCATTTGGTGTCGAATCCAATTTAGATTGGCTCCACTGCAAAAATAATTACAATTCAGCCATTTTAAACATATTGTTAAAGTTATAAAGTTAAAGTTATACATAAAGTTTGACCAAAACAGCTCCATCTCTCAGCATATGATGATTTTAGTTGGAAGCTCTGACATGACAGGTGATGCGTAATGTGCATTATTTCAAGGAATGGGCAGGCCTTCATTTATTATTGTCCCATTATAACTACTGGTACATTTATTGGGTTTTTTCTTGCTTCAGAGGAAGTGCTTTCTTGGCTCATTGGGGACTTCTAAGTAAAGAGATATAATTGGTTTGTACATGCATGTGTAGTGAACTAAGCCTCAGGTCAAAAGCCTTCCTGGGACAGGAACTGTTATTTCATTGATTTGAGTCCAGAAACACAAATTAAGCTCATCCAGAGACTTTCTGAGTGTGTCCTGCACTGGTCAATTGAAAGAACACTCTCTTTTCATTATCATTACTATTTTACAATATCTTGATAATCAAAGTGTGTTTAGTTCAAACCATTTTAAATGTTGAAGTGAACTACTCATTTTAAATCAACTGTGAAACAGTATAAATGATTTTTAATCCTCATTCAAAGTAGAAATCAAGTTAAAATGCCTGTTACAAGTAATTATGCATTTTTTGATTTTCTGTCTGAAATGAGCAAGTTGTGATATCGGTCAAAAGTGAAGGAACGGTCAAAAACATGTTTATCGGAACGAAATGTCATGTTTATCTCTATCAGACAGATAGAAGGAAGACTGGCTCCTAAATGTCTCTGTTCTTCAAAACATCTTTCTGTCTGTTCTTAAACATCTACGCTTTCTCCTTGACATGTAATGACCCTCTGACGTCACTAAAACCACACCCCGGTTGGTTCGTTCAACCAATCAGGAAGTTCCCAGAAGGAACCGGAAGTGACCTCTTTAAAAGGGTCGACACTTCCTAGTTCCAGGCAGAACAAGTTCGGAGAGCAGAACCGAACAGAAAAGTTGCTGGAGAGAACAAGAAGTTCCAGACATGATCTGAAGTTCTTCCGAGTCTCGTGGGAATTATGGAATCTTCCACAGTTGAGTGGAACTCTGATGGGCTCACAGCTCATGTGAGTCCACCTGAGAGGTGAGCGTGGTGTTGAACGAAGTACCGTCACTACTTCGGACGATTCGCAGCTGTTCCTACGGAGACGCTGGAAAGGTAGCGTTAAATGGAACTCCATACCAGTGGAGACACCTTCTACAAGGTAACGAGTCCCTCACTACCGAAGTGTACCGAGGTTGAGCTGGGTTCGGATGGAGGGTGCCGTTTGTTATCAACACACTTTTCCCTCATCCATTTCCTCTCCATTTAAACTCCTTCATTTTCCCATCTTTAAACTTCTATCTTGCCAGTAATCATCCAGATATTTTCAGAAATGTCTGTTGCATTTTAGTTGCAAGTGAGAAATCATGGCCGTATGGTTTCTCATTGTAAAGCTCATTAATTAAGCTGTGTTATTGCGTTCAATCAGAATAATCACGTGTACAATGTTTGATGTTAAATTTTGATTCTGTTAATAAATGACCCCATTCATTTTGATGGGTCAAAGAAAATTAACGTCTCACGTCACTGATTAAACCATCTCCCACACAGTATCTCTGTCACATATCTGTCAAGTAGCTCGAAAAAGAGAGAATCCGTTTAAATTAAGTATAATATCAGATGCATATTATCTCTCATTACACATGTATATTGATTTTGCACTATTTAAACCGTAACATGTTGCTAAAGTAGAAGTTACTCGGCTGTCTCGTTGTCTGCTATGACATGCTCTTTGATTTTGTGCAGCACAAAGTAGAAAAATTGGTCACATGAGTCTTGACTCATGTCTTTGCTTTTTTTCTCGGTGTATGTTTAACTTTTTCAAACTCTGTTTTGAAATATCTGCTACATGAGACATTGTGTGCCGCAGTATGGCTGCACTGACGGGAGATTCACTTTGACTTGCTCTTTTTTAGTTCCTGTTGTTTTTGTTTTTACCTTTTTTTGCACCTGTACACCCATGCTACGGGTATGACCGCAACACACTTTTGGAGTTTTATGTTTTGCTGTCTTGCCATTGTGGTTCAGTTCCCGGCCCCCTTCCTGCCTCGGGCTTTGGCCTGTCATAGCAGCTGTCTCCATGATCCTCCATCTACCTGTATGGACCGAACTCTACACATTTTGGTTCAGTGGGGAAACCTTGGATGTTCTGTGTCTGCCAGACCCGGTTCTGGAGGGCTGTCATCGTCTGTTGCTGCGATCATAATTATCATCATGCTGCTAACAGAGCCGCGCTGCTAACAGGACCATACTGCTGTAGATGCATTTTTTTTTCACGTTTGGTGCTTTGTTTTGTACTTTTGTTGCATGCTTTGGTATTTCTTGTGGGGTGGAGGCGGTGTTGGCGAGTCGAGACAGTTCTTCTCATCCTGAGCGTTTCGTAGCATTGTTGACCTTTTGTTGACCTGCACATGACAATAAACCTAACCCTAAACTACATACCTACAACTCACAGCTCCAGCTATGCAGTCATTCATTGTTGTTACCGATGAATGTTGCGTGTATGACAAATGTGACAGCTCAGACCTTTAGCAAAGGTGTTGAATGCAGTAAACATGTTGATCCTTATAACTGCTTTGTAGTGGGACTAACAGGTCTTATCAGTTGGGTCTGAAAACAACCTGCTTGGCTCCACTAGTTGTTGCATTGTGTTTATCTATCTGCACATGTTGCCTGCCCTGATAGTTACAGTGGCTCTGCTTTGTAAAACGACAATACATAGAATAAAACTGATGCATTAAATGACGGAAATCAAAAACTTGAAACACAAAAGAT